TTTAATTTACACATAAAATTCGTTTTTATCGAACATCGAATTCCCCTGAATTATTAAAATTAGTGCTAGAATATCTGGATATTATACATCATGAGTTTTTCTAAGATCTTGCAAGAATAAATTTTTCTAGGATCTTAAAAAAAATATTCTCGGATCTGTTTAACAAACATCCGATAGACAAATATCTCTTTCTCGATGAAAGATTGAGAGGATTCTCTAAACGAGAGAACGATCGCGACTGACGTTTCGGGAACAAAAGTTCGTGACTTTTCGTGACGCCGAGACGTGCGCGCTAGTTTTTGCCGTCATTAATCCCAAAGATATCACGGCGACGATTTCTTTCCTCGGCGTCGTCGCTGGTTCGGAGATTATGGATATAGCTTCCTCGCGCGACGGACGAAAAAATGCGACAAGTGGGCTCCTCACTTGGTGAACGAAGAAATACGACAGTGTCAAGAGATTGAAAGACACAAATAAAAAGAAAAAAAATGTAACTAATCAATCGCAAGTGTTTCCGAATAAAAAAAAAAAGATATTAAAGTGTATACGTATGTGTATATAGAATTAAACAAGGCGATATATAAATTAATTTTTACATTACATTATATTGCTATTATATTTTATTATGTTATATATTTTATTTATTTATTTATTTTATTATATTTACATTGCTAATGATAAATCGATTATTAAACCTTTCCTTTTGAGATTTGATAAGGTACGAAACAAGATTCCGGCAAAATGCTGTTGTGCGGTAATATCGTTCCATCTAAATGGTTTTACGTGAATGGTAGATTTTCCCGAAAGCGGGAATTTCCTGCCAATCAAGTAAAATCCTCTTTCACATCCCGTCTCTCGGATCGGCGTATAAACGTGGCATACGCGGCGTCTTGAAAAGGCAACGAGGCTTTGATTTACTCTCTCGTCCCCCATTCAAGAGGACGTTACGGCTGCGCGTTTTCTCCTTAAATGGGCGCCTAACGTCTGAGCGACATTAGAGTTCTCGGTCAAAGCCAAAGTCATGGCTGGGGAGCTCTATCCTTGATGTTTTCCGAAGGGACACCACCACGCACCGCGAGAGATCGGGAGGGAGAAAGAAGGCGTTTGAAATAAATAGATACGCCGAGACTTTCTCCCATGTCGTCGTCTTCGTCGCTTTGTGGTGGATCGTTGAAATAACGAGAACAAGATCGGTAATGCGCGATCCCGTTTCGACAATCGGACGGACACGATCGCAGACGGATCCGATTAGAAAGGAGAGCCGCGAGACTTGCACGCTCTCGCGTAGTTATGCTTATTATTTGAAGGTCGCGTTACATCGCATTTATGCGATGCAATTCCAACTAAACGCGGTCTATTAGATCACGAACGCTTGATATCCCGGCGAGAAAAATGCTCGGTGCAACATATGGATTATTACGATATTTGGAATGTTATTTAGTATCGTGGAATGCAATTTGAAACGAATGCGAATTGCGCGTTAAATATCCGTGACATCGGCGAGAGGTGTTATAACTGCAAAGTTATGAATATTACGCGGGAAATTAACGATTTGAATGCAAAATTTAAAATACGAGAAACAGACGAGTTCTTTTTGGAATACCAAATACAATTTAAAGATGTACAATTAAGTCTCGTAATTATGCTGAAATTATTAATGTTGATGTGCGAATGAAAATTATAAATGTTGCACCGTAGCAGAATGTATGTAGAATATTTCATATTTATTTCCGGCAAGCGTTTGACAATGTCAAAATTAATCGATTCGCGCTATTTTATGATATCATAAAATTTTCCACCGTTTTCGATAATTCAGATATAGCAGCCACCATTTAATCTTTATGTTAAATATAACGTAGCGATCTCTGAATAACATTGTTATCCGCGCCATCAAGCATAATTTATATCTACGAAATTTCTGAATAGATCTCGAACACACACACACACACACACACACACACGCGCGCGCGCGCGCGCGCGCGCGCACGAAAACTCGATATCTTGAATTATTGAAATAGTATATTAAAATAGTATCAGATTGTATCGGGTAAAAAAATGCGCCAAAAAAAAAAAGGAAGAACGAAAAAAGGTATGTGCAATCGAACGCGCGAAACATTTTGCATTTATCGCATATTCGCATCGCTACGAACGTGAACGCCCCCGTTCATCGCTGAGCCCGCCGCGGAATTCGACATGCTTCAAAATTGCATCGCGGCGAATTCCGCGTTTCGTCCGACGATTTTCCCGGTCGAAGGCCGTCGCGTCGGAGCGAACGCATCGGCGAAACGCGCGGTTTCTCGCGCGCTTTCCGCCGCGCGAAGCAATAAGCGCGCGGGGAAACAGCGCTGCTTTCGCAATAAAAAGACTCCAGCTTACCGTTACTGTCACCGCTGGAATTCCTATCTTTATACGCGATGTGACTTCGCGTATATATCGTGATACCATCCGTTACATCCGCGTCGCCGTAATGGGATACGCGATGCGTGCGTCTGCGAATTAGAGCTGCCCGAGCACGTAACGACTGAGGAGGTACCGATACCGATGATTCCCTACGTTTCGTAATATAATAAGAAAATATCAGAAGATATAATAAGAAAATAGACCGCAATAAAGAGATATAAAAGTCTAAGTCGAGTCAAGTGGTATTATCGATGCGCAAAATTTTAATGAAAGTTAAATTAATAAAAAATAATAAATTTAATAAATTTTATAAAAAATTTAATTTTAATATTTATTTCACAATAAAAAATCATAATTGTAATAAAACCGCTAAGAAAATAATAAGAAAAATCGTTATAATCGTTATGATCAATTCCGATGAATTCCAAGAGTTTGAGTTTCATTCCGAAATGTGAAAAGGCTGATTCATGAATCATCAATCGAGAGAATATTCATGTCGACAACGTGATAAATTTAACTCTACATTTATTTTAAATTATTATACGTTAATATAATCATTATATTAACATTTATTTTAACTCACGGTTGTTTTTATTTGAGAATATAGAATTCGAGAGTATAGAAATTCATGTATTGTCAAGTCACTGGACCGTTGCATGTGAAGTATCATATTTCGAAAGATTAGAATCCGTGAAAGAAAGTTGGAAATTATAGTTGACACGAATAAATATGTCAGCAAATAATCTCTGGCCAGAAGAGCACTTATATACGATACGCTACGCGAACTAACACTCTCTTTAAATCGAGAAAAAGAGAAAAATCGAGAATGTCGAGAAGTAGGGAGTAGATTGTGGGTCAGTACTCGCCGTTACGTTCCACTTTCTCCTTTCTTCAGTTTTCGTAGACCGAAGGTCCACGAAACCCCGTAACCGGTTTCAATCGTGACTATTATTTCAACGGAAGTTGTAAAAGCTTCCGTTTTTGCTCGGTACGACCACGGTGGACTATTTATTCCGAGAATGAAGTAACATAAAATTCGCGACGGAAGTCGATTTTTCTCTCGAAAATATACAGAGGGAAGTCGATATTTTTTTTTCGTCCATATCAAATATTGTTTTAATATCTAAAAGTCTAAACTCTCTCTTCTCGTAAATTATATCGATTCTTTTCAAATTCCTCTTGCGGATATCTTTTTGTATGTCAAATATACTTGAGAGGACACGAGCGGAACATAAGTGACAATGATCTCCGGCCTGCAGCTAACACGGTCAACCGTGTCAATTTGTAAGAACGAATGGTTAAACGCAGATCACGATAGGAAAAACATTCCAATGTCCCGGTGGAATCTGCGTAATCGATTCTTCATGCAAATGAGAGTCGCTGCGCACCATTACAACGTGGAGAAGCCGGACTATCACGGGTGTACGCACTAATCGATTCTCGCGATCGGAACGAGACGAGAGAAGCGGAGCTTTGCGAGGGATTACTACGATTATCCGAATAATTACCCTCCGAGCCTCGAGGACGGGCGGGTAAATAAAGCCGGCCAGGATCGTCGGATTCGCCGAATTCGTATTCCATCTGCGCATTTGATTACGCCGGTCGATGTTCGTATGGACAATCGACATTGCATTCCCTTGCGTAAGTTGAAAGCTTTTTTTTATATGCATATATAATTTTTATATATAAATATAAAAAATTTATATATAGTTATATATTAAATATTAAAATTTATATATATATATACATATAAATAAATAAAATTGGTCAAATGGAGCAGAGCATTAAATTAACAGGAAAAAAGCACGAGCAGATTGCTTTTTATACCCAGATTTTTTCAATTTCACGAGGTCACCGAAATCATTACCCTTCTCGTTACTTTTTGATATATCAACGCTCATTCAACGCGAGGATCCGGTTAGTTTTCAATTTCGTTTAATCCGAGTCGCGACGCTTCCGATTCATACCAGTGACCGTTAATAAAAGAAACGAATTGGCCGATCGCCACGCTTCGATAAACAGCGAATTGTTCGTTTTTTCCGTTTACGCGGCTATTAGATATAGTTTATTGTGGAGAGAATTCCCAGCGTTGTTCCGGACGCTCGCGTTATCTTCTTCGAGATCGCGAACGGCAACCGTATAGAATTGAAATATAGCATATGAAGACAAAACTTAAACGATATTTTAATAATGTCAATAAGTTCAGATTTTCACGATTTTTAAAACGCAAATTGTTATTTACTAATTATAATCGCGAAAAAATGCGACGAGTGGCAATATAAAATTTATTTGAAGAATATAGAAACCAAATCTGCCAAAATATATTCAAGATCTTAAAGATGTTAGTTTATAAAAATTTTTATACAAATGTAATTATGCAGAAATACGTTTAGGAAGGAATACGTTTACATTCTCGATACTACCAAACATCAAATGAAAACAGATAACATGACTCGCTTCTGTATTCCTTCATGATGCCCATGCATTACGGCATCTACGGGATCTACCATGAAATTACCGTAACTATATCGTTTTCAACGAGCCCTCACGAGCGGTAAGAGGCGATGAAAAAAATTAACAAGACAATAATGAGGACTCACCGAGCGCCTTGCAGCTCGCACCATGAAGGGAATCCCCGGCGAGCTGAATGATGGCCATGAGAATATCGCCCATCATCAGGCAGGCGACATGATGAGTCTGGCAACGCCAATGCAGAACATGATGAGAGGCCGGTAGTAACCAGCCGGCCGCCAGGGTGGCTGCCAGAAAGATGGCGCTAATGATGAAGCCCACGGGATACAAGGTGAATCTGATGTCCGTCGCTTCCACCACGGGTCTGGAGAAAAATGTAAGCAGATTAGGCTGCTGCTTTTGAAGTCTTCTACTTCCAATTCTTTTAATTTCTTCTTCTCATTTGGATTTTTGGTATAAAAAAAAAAAAAAAACTCGAAAAATTCCATCTAAAAAAACACGAAAATTCAATGAAAAATAAAAAATCGCCCTGCTTTGCGACAATCCTTCCTTCCCGTTTTGAATTTTAAATATTTATTCACAGAATCAGACTTCACATCATGCGTGCCACGCGATGGTGAACATGTACAGATGGGTTAATATAATATACATATTAAATAACAGAAAGTCATTTAATTTGAGTCATTATGATATTATGCTTTATTATATGTTCGCGCAACAATAGAAGGCCCAAATAAACAGGTAATTCATATCTACATAACAATTGCGACAAATTCCACATTTAAACAACGTATAATTTATTAATCAATCAACCGTTCGATAACAATAACAATTAATGTAAAAAAAATAAATACTGATAATTTACGATCGCGTAGACGTACGCGCTTTTATCAAAAATTCTTCTTTTCTCCATTTCCCCAATTTAAATCTTTCTTTTTTTCTTTTTTTTTTTTTTACATGGTGGCGGAAAGGAAGGTTAGCATACATTTAACATGCAAATTCCGGTGTCGGTTCCGTCGATATTTTCCATTACCCACAGGCAAAATGTCGCGGAAGAAAAAGGCAAATTATGGCGTTATTTCTCGTTATTTCTCGCTGGCGGATTAATTAAATTCGGGCAGTTTTATCGACGTCACATCGGCAATTGACCGATTGGCTTACTGCCAACTGTGGGCAGTAAGCCAGATATTCAATCGATTATAACGGAAATAATATCGCGTTATCGGCGATCGTTACGTCCGTTTTTAATTAAGATTCCTGAGAGATTTGAGTAAAATTTTTCATCGCGATTAACGGTTCCACGATCGCATTCAGAATTTTCATTTTCGGAATTAATGTTTTTGACTCGCATCGATCATACACACACACACACACACACACACACACACACGTGCTTGGCACGAGCGAAAGTCACGGAGAAAGTACTTTCAAGATCTCCAGAGAGTTTAACTCATCGGAAACTCGCGTGAGATAAAAAAATTTACACGCGCGTCATAAACGTGTTTCAAATGCTGCGTTCAAATACTCCAAAATACATACATATATCTAACCGCCAAAAATAAACGCGGTAAAATTACACGAGTGGGAAAAAATAATTTCCGTCACAAGGTCTGCTCGATTACACCGATTTTTAAGTGCAGCACGTGCATTTAACACACGCATTGTCAAAGATTGATTTTATCCAATTTTTGAGAAAAGTCGTGATAACTCACCGATTCGATTTGCGAAGCATTCGCGATGAAAAAATCCACCGCGCCCCCCCCCCCCCGACCACGTTTTGTTCCATTGATTGGCGTTCGCCAGCGAAGCTGTTGACGAGTAAATTTTTCACGACGGGGAAAACGAAATGTTGTGCGCCATCCGACCCGTATGTATATACGTATACGTACAAGCGCAAACGGAACACGAACTTTGTGCAAAATCGGTCCTACATCGGGCGCAAATGCGCAGTGCTAATCGCATTTTCGTTGTTACTTTATGCACCTAACGACGGGTCAACTTTTATCATAAATTTCTGCCGGCAATTTTCGTTAAACGGCATTTCTGCCGGCGACACTCCGAATCCGGGAGATAAACACGGGAGCGTTCATTGGTTATATTCTCCCCGAGTAGTGTACACACACACACACACCACACACACACACACACACACACACACACACACACCACACACACACACACACACACAC